TAAAAGTGAGCCATACAGTAACCGCAATTGGTGGTCAGATAAATTGCTTTTTCAGAGTATGTTGCTGCAGGTACATCATTAATCGCGAGCTCAAAGTAATATAGCCAAAAAAAGCAGTGTGGCAGGCCATACATGTTATTAAACACGTCTTTGAAAATTAAAAAAAATGTATTACAAACAAAATCTTGTAAGTACAGCAGAGCGTCAAATTGATTTGTTGCTTTAGTTAAACCAATATAAAAAACCAGGAATGGAAATTATGATTGAACAAGTACCATACGTACTCCGTTGGTAGCTTTGGTGATTACCGATCAAATTGTAAGGTATATAGAGTATTTGATATCTGAGAAGAGAGATTTTTTTTCACACTAACCTTTTTATTATTCCAGCGAGACACAGGTGCATCGATACTAAAGTATTATTCCATTGTATAAACAAGATCAATTAAATGTTTTTACTCGTGTGCTATTATTTTGAAAAACCAAACTAGGCGTTTCGGTGATATTTCTCGCACATTATCAAGAGTGGCTTTTGATTGGCTGGTTGATAATTGGACGTTTCTGATTGGTTGTTAGTAATGATGTTAATTTCAAGAATATTGTAAATCAGCTCGTAAAACTGAACAAAGTAGGCAGAKAGACAATATGAATGTCTTTTTTTAACCATATTTAGGAATGAAGGAAAATTAAAACGCGCGAGTGCAATATTAATTACTTTTTTTGCCAAGGGATTAGAGTGAACCTTGTTCTTGATTTCATTATTATTCTATTCTCATTATTTTATTATTTCTATGATATAATTCTTTAGTTAACATTTCAGTGTTTATTCCAAATATTGTTTTTAATTTCAATTGTTAACTTATATGATGCTAATTAACCTCAGCATTATTTTTGTTTAGCTGTTATTATATTATCTTGTTTTTCCAATTATTATTATTTTCTATTATTATTATTATTTTCTATTATTATTATTATTTTCTATTATTATCGTAGCTGATTATTTTTCAGAATTTGACTATTAAAGTGTGATAGTCAAATAGGCACGCAAAAGAAAATAATGCAATTAGAGCGTGCCAAGATGTAATAGTCTAAAACATCTATTTCATAGGTTTTTTGACTATGCATACCTAATTACGAGAACGTTGTCATAGAAAAAAAAAATTGTACTTTATTAAAAAAGTAATAAATATAAAAAGAACACTCAGGATGAACACCTTCTTTTGTCTATTTAATAATTTCTTTTTACTAAAAACAAATATTTTATTCTATCTATGACTATGTTCTTGCAATTAGGTACAGATACTTTCAATCAAAAAACCCTCGCAGTCAAAGTGCAGAATTTTTATTTACATGATTTAAGAAATTTGTATTAGTCTTTTATTACTCAGTATTGTCAATTATCACTAGAAATCTTAATCATCGTTATCATTATTAGATGATTATAATCATTAGAATTATTTTCAATATCACTACGATCTGTTTTACTGTCTTTTCAGCTCATTATATTTTCGTGACAAAACGAAATGTTTACCCAAAGTATGTGATAGATGTATAACATAAGGTCTCACTGTTCCCTACGGGCGGTTTCTTTTTAAGAAAGTGTGTTTTTTTTTTAAATATAGCTTGTGATTGTTGCTCGGTTTTTGTTCTAGAAAGAGTCATTTTATGGTGTATATTTGGTGTCTTTTACAAAGATAATATCATTTGCTGAGAGTGYTGTATCTGACATGCAAAGGATGTTGTGAATTGCGCTGTTTGAAATCGGCTCAAAAGTGATTACTTATCGATTTATCTCATAAACATTTTAGATTTAGTGTAGTTTRTCACAAGTATTTTCACAATTTTTCTCATACCGTTTGCTCAGAACATCGTCTTTTTTCGTCCATATATAGATGTCGCTATGGTAGAGCCAATAAAACTGTATTCAGTTGAATGAAATTTTATCTCCATGCTGTTTCACTTYGTCAAAATATAAAAAAATTCTTATCGCTAAAACTTCCGCTTAAGAACCAATAGCTATCCCACTTTTTATGTTTATGTTGACTAGCCACTCAGAAAAGAGGCTCTTTGAAAACAAKGGATAATTCCTTTGTCGTTCCTCGGAAACTCTTTTGTGCATAGATTCACTCAGAACATTAAAAATGGAACATTTTTGTTATGGTATACAAAGTATGCTAGCTCCTAACCTAWAGCGTATTATATATGTAATATCTGGTACCTCGCACGCAAGTGAAACTTGGAAGAAGAAAAAGAAAAATTGTGCAGTTGCATCCACTGTAAAAAAAAAACAAGAAACTTGAAAGAGAAAGAAAGTCACTCCCACTTCCAACAACAACACGATTAGCAGCTCCCTTCAATTGTCTAATACAGTAATTCAAGCCAGTGCTTTGGATACAAATTGCTTCTTAATGATCAAAAAAACAACACTTGRTCCTTATACGACCAGTTGCCTAGGTTAAATGCGACGATTTCAAGGATTTTTAATAATATCAAACACCGAACTAGTTTCCCAGATTAACAGGAGTTGGAGTCTTGCATCAGAGAGATTTTCGACAAATAGGATTAATAAMAATCCCTGRAGGATTAAAATAAAACGGATTTGTCTGGGKTTTTTTTAGTTTTCATTTTGYTTTTGCTTTTTTTTCTCAACTGACAAAATRGGATTTCAAGCATTGCGAGTCGATTTATTGAAAGGAATAAAAAATGGGWATGAAATGAAGATTTTAGTGAACATTAAAGATAGCATGTTTTGTAACTGATTTGGATGGTTCGATTTGGCCATTTGTCCTTGGGAAACCTGTGATAATGGTCTTTTGACCTGCACATCCATTCATTCGATTTGATGGATTAGCCATGTCTTGTTGTCTTTTTGACTTGTTTATTTAATCGCCTTATGTCACCAATAAGACCGCCATTTTGAATTCTATATTTTCAGTATATCAACAGCCCTAACTATTTGAATTTTTCCCCGAGTTAAAGCTAGCCTTGGGCCCTCTGGGAATACATGGTTTATTAAGTAAAATTTTACATGTAAGGCTGTTGTAATGACATCTATCTTTTGTGTTTCGTGAGGTGTTTGCRCAAGAGAATCTGTTGTCAAATGAAACTATGGTTATTCGCTTTGAATAATAGTATTCTAACAATTAGAGAAAAGTAAAAAATCTTATAAAAATGAGCGCTTTTGCACACGCTTTTGTTCATTCCAAATTGTTTTACCTCTCAAGATGTACGACCGTTAAGCAGTTGCGTCTTGGAACGGTCGCATGTTAACATGTGAAGGTCGCATGTTAACAAGTGAAGGTCTTGTCAACACGTGTGCGGAAATTTTCGCATCATCCCAAATCAGTAATTTTTTGACGACAATTTCCTTACAAAATAGTCCAATTTAATACTTTGGCTCGCGCACAAAAGAACTGAAGACGAGGCTCAGGGTACAAAAGGATTATCTATTGTTTCCCTAGAGCCTCATCCTCAATTCTTTTGTGCGTAGTTAATCAACCAGCATATGGAGACCTGGGCTATAATTCCAGTTCATGTGATACGCGAAAGCTCAGTTTTGCGATTGGGTGAGAACAAGGCCTAAAGCTAGTTTAATAGACTGGAACTGTCGTTTTAGTTGTAACTACTTACGACGATTCGTTGATATTGCTTGTAATCTTACCTTAATATCTTGATATTTCAGTTGCAATGAGCTTCTGGAAGCCAGGGACTATCATGATGTAATCTTGACAAAACATGATTTTCATAATATATCATCTTTTTTTYCACACCTTTGAGGTGACCTTCAACGATCTGACCGCCCTTTTATATTTTTATTTGCAAGTATAACTAACAGATGGTTATTTCTTGCTGATCACATGGTGTTAGCACTTAGTGCTCTAAGAGTAAAAATGTCAAGAATTCTCCTTCTCCTAAGTGGTGGTAATATAGCCTGTAGCTTTCCAGTTAGCCACAAATGAAAAAGTGAAGTTGTTCTTGCAGATAAAGGGCGCCAGGCGTTTATTGATTTTAAAAAAATGCCACGAAAGGTAGAATTCATAAATTATTGTATTTTGCATCCTGTCTCTCAAAACATTTCACAATATGGGTTATTTATCTTAAGGAAGGGCTTACGTACTTGTATAATCCGAAAATGATTGATGATGGGCGGGCCTAATGGATGAAAGCTGCTTTCAATAATCTTGTTTATTGGGAAAATGGTAAACTGGATTAATTATGTTTAAAAAGAACTTATGTCTGAGGCGAGTAGTTGGTAATAGCGAGTGAAAATCACCAAGAAATCTTAACATTTGTATTTCATCCGCAGGAATATTTCCCGCTTGCMGGAGAAAAACTCTATTTCGTCTAACAGCCAAATGGACAAAACACCGGTCTTTTCTCAGTTTTTTTTCGTTGTTGTTGTTGTTGTTAGTCTTTGTTGTTGTTTTTTTAGTAAAAAAATTTWAGACGATTATCCAGTTTAATTCAGCTCGCGCTGATTATACTCGTGAAGTACAGCATACTAGTCATTTCTTTTACAGGTTTTTTTTTCATCGATTGTGGGTCACTCCTGATAATTTGGTATTCATCCTTGCCTTTWCTCAAGTGAAGACCTCTCAGCAGCGCCGCAACTCTCTAAAATCTCACCGATATTTATTCATCTATTATTGCACATCAAAGCAAACCTCAAATGCCTTTGGGAAAAAAACTGATTTTGTGTGGCATGGATTGTAGCATTTGGTTTAAACAGCCATGTAGGTTAGAACCCCATTCCAAGTCCTCTCGTAACCCTTCAAAGTGTATATATTAGGTGACCAGAAAGTTTTGCATCCTCTCGAAACAACAAATTTCGATATTTGTTTTCGATACTCTTTCGATATTCGTTTTAGATTTGCACGTGGGAGAACGTCCGGGTTCTTGTTGGCACAGACCATATATAGAAAAATGGCCGACATTGTGATAATAATATTGCGGCTTGATGCGCATCGGTCTGTTACAGCGCGCGATATGACCACAACATGATAAAATGTTCAAATGCAAATTTATTGTAATATTATTAACTCCAATCTACTAAAGTCATCTGCTATGGCCTACTCAAAACGTTTGTTTATTCGTTATTTGGTTTAACTGTTCTTATATATTTGAGTATAYGGTTTGTCACGTGACAAGTGACGCAAATGTGTAATTTTATTGCGCATGCGTGTTCAGTCTACTCCCACAATCCTTTTCGATAGTGATATAAATTGAGTCATGCAGTAACGAATTACAAGTTACCTTCAATTCACTAATCTACCCATCTTGGTTGAACATAAGTGAAAAGTTGTTTTTGAACTAGTTAATCATCGTAAATCTGGCTACCCAGACCTAAAGATATATGCTGAGATCTTAACGTAACATAGCTGAGGTYTAGCGCTATATTATTAGCATCTTGCTGTATTTGTGGCTGTCATTCCTGCTACTTATTATTACTATTCTCGTTAATTCTTTTAATGTCATAGCCGCCATGATGGTTTCAAAAAAGATACAACGACAAGCAAACAAAGAAATCTTTTCTAATAAGCTTCTCTTCTCTTCGTTCATCCAACATGGCGGCAATAAAGTTTTATTCTTTATTTCTAGGGGGTTTGGTCATAAAGAGTTGAATGTGTTTGCAAATAAAGAATTGCTATTTATCCGACTCCTGCTGTTTTCACTTTTCCGTTTTGTTGCCAGCGCTATAACTATAAACCTCACTTTTCCATTTTGTTGCCAGCGCTATAACTATAGTGATACATTATTTTAATCTTGTATAAAAATCTCAACGAAAACATTTCTTCGACATTTAAGCTATGTTGCGTATTTCTTGGTCCATTCGCGAGCTACTCTATCATGTTCTTCTCTGTTCGATGAGTATTGGGTGGCTATGCTTCCCACTAGAGGATCGGCTGAGGAAMAAATGAGAGAATGAATGAAAGAGAYAAACAAAAAAACAGTAATAGACATATTTCCTGTTGTATTCCGTGGGTGGGGACTCTCCTATATTTGCTATACGGTTATGTGCCGCAGGATAGGGTCCCTTTTCGGAGCTCCAAGTCTGGGATAGGGTATCATTTTTTGCCGATTTGACTGGGATAGTGTAGTCTTTTTGTCTGGGATAGGTTCGTGAGGGTCGTGGGGCACACCCCCACACCCCTCCCCCCCGGGTTGTATTATATGCCCAGACTGCGTAAGGTAGAGGCAAAGGTAGAGGCAAGGAAGTGCTTTCATTGCACAGATGTTGTTGAAGATGAAAAACATTTCCTTATTAAATGCCCCCTATACTCTAAGATTAGAGATAATTTTATTAAGCAAAATAACATTCACGATATTCTCCTATATTGTTTGGAATTAAGTCTATGTACCCTTGTGTACAAAAAATACAAATAAAATATGTATGTATGTATGTTATGATGCCCACAAAACTAAATGTAAATGGCATGGCGACACGTCAAGAATTAAAAGGTATGAATGTAACATATGTTAATTGAAATGTTAAAACCGTTTGTTGCGGCAGACGCGTTTTCGCAGCATTTTGAGAGCAGAGAACACTACAAACTTGCAATCAATCCCTTGAGATTCAAAGAACAAACGACTGACTGCTGGCCATGTTGGTTTAAGGATAATTACTAAAAGCAACATGGCTGCCATGACGCAAACTAAGCAGGGAAAAAATCAACCATTACACTCCCTCCCACCTCTCAACCAAAGAAAATATGAGCTATAAAACATTAAATGAATACAATATTGACTAGACATTATCCACAATGAAAAATCAATAAAGAAATATAGCTACAACTGTAGAAAAGAAAATCTYACCAGGATTGCAGTCTGTAAGAAGCGAACGAATTGAAAGTAAAACCTTTGATATCGTTAGAGCAGGACTCCAGCTATCTTTAAGAATATCAAGACAAATTACACCCTAMAGGATGAAAGATGAAATATTTYAGATTAAARACACACGRTTTTGAGTTKAATGTCCTCTTATTGACAAACCTCTGACGTCATAAAATGTYCAAAACGTTTCAGTAAACCCACTCGTGACGTCAAGAGCGTGTCAACAAGAGGAAATAAGACTCAAAACCATGCGCAATTATCAGGTTACCYAGGAAAACCAGTCTGAGACAAAAGGATGTTTTCCTTGGGTTAGCGAAGCCCTGAAAACAAAGTTGAGGAATTTCTATTTTGGGCTTCCTGTGTTTCTTTTGCCACAGGAAACCCAGTCCTCGATAGTACCATAAATATTACCTGGCTATTGATATTGCAGTGGTATATTCTTGTTCGAAAGGTAACCTGTTGGTAAAAACAAGTGTTATTCACTGATAAAGATATGTTTTTCCCTAGGTCATAAATCTGCATTG